TTAAACATCTGGTTAAAACCTTATCAGAAGAAGAAAAGACTTCCATGACAGATGATGATACATCTAGTCAGCAGAATCAAAAGGCCCCCTCTGGGCAGGGCAGCAGAAACATGGAAGATTTCCATGAAACCATTGATGGTGAAGAAAAGGTTTCAACAACCGACAAAGCTACTAGTGATGAGAAGATTCAAAAGCCCCCCTCTCTGATGTCCAGAAGAAAAGTTGAACATCTGGTTAAAACCTCATCAGAAGAAGAAAAGAACCTCACAACAGAAGATGAAACTTCTAGTCAGCAGAATCAAAAGCCCCCCTCTCTGATGTCCAAAGGAAAAGTTAAACATCTGGTTAAAACCTTATCAGAAGAAGAAAAGACTTCCAGAACAGATGATCAAAGCTCCGGTGGGGAAGAAAAGGTTTCGATAAACGAAAAAACTGTGAGATTCTCGATACCAGATACCCCACCAGAGAGTCAGGCAAATGCCCTCACCCTCGCATTAATTATTAGGCTCATGTCAAAGCACAACATTCATGACAAGATCCAAACCCATGAAATAAGCGCCCTGAAGGATAGACTGATAAAGCTGGCGACTGAAATGGACCCGGATTACACAATCCCCTTAAACAATGTCCACATAAAAGATCTGGCCAAGGTTGTGATAAGAGATCTCCACAGAACATTCGGCTCGACAAAAAAATTACTGAAGGCAGCGATGGACCCAGAAAATGAGCTCTTTGATCGGACTTTTGTTACCTTCCTTGCATACCAGTATAACTCAAAATCAATGCCAACACCCAAAAGGAAGAACGTGATACGACGTTTCTTTTCCCAGGTTGGAGATTGTCTGGGTAAAACTGTTGGTTGTTTCAAGAGGAAACTTTAATCCAATCACAACTTGTATCTCATCTGGCTTTACCTTGAGTAAAATTAGATGTAGAATGAAATGGGGCAAATTAACCAGAAAATAAAATGGTTGTTATCAAATGACAATAATAGCTTCTTTTTTATTGCGTACATTTAGCTTGGTGTGTTTCAAAAGAATACATATTTAGTCCAAATGTTACCTTAATTATTTACAGTGTTGTATAAATTATTCCAATAAGACAAATGCAAAAGTGAAATGGAAATGATTTATTTCTGCTTTTGATCCTACAAGAGAATGACATTTCTCTGTAAAATCATAATTTTTCAGTAACTGTGCTTGAAATACACTTTTTAAAAAAACATGTTTTGGGTGTAGCATGTAAAGTTGTACTAACAAACTAAAGTCAAAATGCACAAAATTGTAAAAAGGGCAATTAGTTAGAATGTAATTCCATGATTTCGCTTGGCTGTGTAGTTTCAAGTCTTTCTGCTTACCCTTACTGGTTTTAATCGTATTGGTCACAGGACAAAAATAGCTCATTATCACACAGGTGGAAAACTCACAGATGCGGGCTCTATGTTAATATTCCCATGCTCTGACTTTTGTCCTCGTATTTGTTGCAACAAATGGTTCTTTGAGGGGAAAAAAGGCTATCAAGATGAGGTTGAACTTAAAAAATCTTTTCAAAAGGATCATCAGAATCAGAAATACTTTAATAATCCCAGAGGGAAATTCTTTTAGCTTTATCTTAATTATTAAATTTAGTTTAGTTTAGCACTATGGTTTCAAACAAAGAACGAAACTATTGAAATATGATATCTTTAATTCTTTAATACCGATCAAATAATTTTAAAGCACTAAAGAACTGTGTGGTGAAAGTGGTAATAATAATCAAAATAAACTGCCATCCAGCATTTCTTGATCTGAGCTGGCTCTTTTTTTGCTGTAACTTCCTGGAACACCAGCCCATCTGTTCCTCCTTTTGCCACTAGGGGGAGCCATACTGTTTGAAATTCAGAAAAAAATCTGCTGTCACTTGCAACATTTTAAGTGGAACTGTTTTACATACAGTATGTTTTTCAAGAAGAGAGGAAAGAACAAAATCAAATAAAATTTTAAAAAGAGATAGCTGTTTTTATGCTGCATGATTTATTGTCTCCAGTTTGAAATGTTCAGTGTGCAACAGTGACCACAGCACGAATCAAATTAGCCCCGAAATACAGCATTTTGTTCAAACCCAATAATGAGAGGGGCAGATGATATATTTTCAAGGAACTTGGAAAGGCAAAGATGTATTTGCAGAGGAGGCAGATAGAAACCACCTGCCAGAAAAGCCGTGTAGGAGTAGGAGAAGAACAGAGCTGCCCAGTCCAGCCTCACTCAGCATGCCTGGCA